CCGCGTATGGCCTCCCACAACCCCTCCTCCGCCTCGATGGCCTCCAACGCCTCGACATCATCAACACAACCGCCCTCCGAATTTCCCGCAGTAGAGCCCGCATCACTCAAACCATGGCTCGACGATCCGGATGCCCTCATCCTCGACGTTCGCACCTTCGCAGCCCATCAGTCGGCCCGCCTCCCCCGCGCCGTCCCATTATCCGTCCCATCCACCCTCCTCAAGCGTCCGGCCTTCGGCACTGAAAAGCTCGGCCCCATGCTTCCCACCCGCGCCGCCCGTGCCCGCTTCGCCGCGTGGCGAGCCGCACCGCGCGTCCTCGTATACGACGCCGACAGCGCCGCACTCGCACCCGGCTCCAATCTACTAGGATTGTTAAAGAAATTCAAAGCCGAATTCAAAGAAGAGGGCCGCACGCAGGAACTGGCGTGGTTACGCGGCGGCATGCAAGCCGTGTGGCGCGATCAGCACGCCTTAGTCGACGAGAGCTCTCTCCCGCCCGAAGACGAGGATGCACCGGCGCCATCACAGTCCGCGCCATCATTATCCGCGCCCGGAGTCCGCCCGTCTACGTCACCGACCCAAAGAAGGCTGGGCGCGCCGACCCTCCGGGCTGGCGCCTTGCCCATGTCCGCGTTCAGTGCGGCCAGTACGACGTCCCAGCGTGCGGGCAGCACGCATCATGCGGCATATGCCGCGAACGAGCGCTTGCCGGCCGCCGCGGCCAGCAACCCTTTCTACGATAACGTGCGACAGAACCTCGAGTTGTCGCAGGGTATCACGGAGCGTATCCCGCTCAAGATCGGACGCGAGGCCAAGGCCCGTGTCCACGAGCTGCCGTTCGCATGGTTGAGGGAGATCGGCCGCTGGGCAGCCGTCGATGGCGAAGGCAGCGATTCAGACACCAGCATCAGCAGCGGCGAGGATGAGACGAGCGGGATGGAGGAGCCGCATCAGCACGTGCACTTTGGCGAGAAGGACAAGGAGAAAGCCCGCGAAGGGATCGCCGAAGGCGCCGAGGCGCTCGCGATGCAGTTCTACAGGATAGAGCTCGGCGAGCAGCGTAGGTTGATGGGTGTCATGGAGCATCACTCGCGCGAATCCGGCGGCCCGGCGCAAGCCGAGCCCGAACCTCCCTCGCCTGTCTCAGAACGGAAGGAGGGCAAGAAGTCGAGGAGGAGGAAGCGGAAGGCCGATCAGGCTGCCCGCAGCGACGAGAGCGGCGACTTCCCGTTCAGCATCACCGCTGGTATCGAGAAGGGCGCGAAGAACCGGTATAGGAATATTTGGCCGTTCGAGCATGCGCGTGTGCGTCTGGCGTCGCGCACGCATCCGCCGCCGCCGTTGCCGTCGTTATCGCCGTCGATATCGCGTTCGCCCAAGACGACGAGGCCGAGAGGCAATAGTCTGATGTTGTCCCCCACTTCGCCGGAGACGAGCGATGACTACGTGAACGCGAGCTATGTGCAGCCGCTCGGGACGAACAAGCGGTATATCGCCACGCAAGGACCGCTGCCGGAGACGTTCACCGATTTTTGGACGTGAGTGTTCATTTTCTCGTTTCGGATTCGTGGGTCTTGCTTTGGGATTCCCGTTCGTGATGTGGTGGAGAGCGCAACATGCACGGGCGCGCAGGGGCTGCATCGGGGGTGCCGCGGAAGTTGCCGCGGCAGCGAACATGGCGCGCACGGACGCGATGGGCGGCTATTGAGTGTCGGTCCGAAGCACCGGGCGCCGTCCACGGCGGCGGGTGCCACGTCGTTGACGCTAACGATGGAGCGCGGATCTTTGCGATGTCAAACTTCCTGCATCGCAGAAGTTGGTTCACCAGCGGAGATGTTGAACGCGTCGCGCGTCGAACCCCTGACACGCGTCGGTGATGATGGACGCGTCGCACCATCGTTCGCGCCGTCAGTGGTGACTGTACCAGTCGTCGTCGATGTCGAACGCCATGTTCCATCGTGATGATGGGCGTCTGCCAGCGAGCGGGATGGTTGTGGGTTGAAAGCCTCGCAGCGCAGGGCCGCGTCTCGCTACCGCTGCCGCGCTCGATGTGATGCCGCAACTCTCGCGCTCGTTTTGATCTCCGCTCACATCCGGCTCTAACGGCGCGTCCGTCCGACTTCGCCGCCCCTTCTGCACTCTCTATCCTCTTTCACCCTCTTTCGCTTCCGGACCCTACAATGAACGTGCGAGGCTAACTCAAAATGTGTTCTGCAGGCTCGTGTGGGAGCAGAACGTGCATGTGATCGTTATGCTCACGCGCGAGGTCGAGGGCGCGACCGTCAAGAGCGGAAATTACTGGTCTGGCGAGAAGTTTGGGCCGTTGAGGCTTAAATTGATAAGTGAAGAAGGCGCGCTGGGCAAGCAGGGTGAGCATTCATTTCATCGTATCTTCTCTCTTCTTGGAGCTCTCGCTTTGTTCCCAAAGCACAGGCTCAGTTCCTATCTCACACCCTCACTCCTGCGATGATTCGCCGCATACACGTAAGGCGAGTGTGCAGGTAGGTGGTGTTGGGCCATGCTTTGCCTCGTGATCGCGCGGAGACTTGTCTGCACTTTCAAAGGCTGGGCGCATATATGCCATGACTCAACGTTCATGGACTGCGCTAAGCGTCTCTAAATCTAATATACTATAATCCAGCCCGTCGAGCTGGAAAAGGGCGCACACACCACGCGGGAGGGGACGGACCGCGTACTTCGCTTTATCTTGGTTTATCTCTCCATCTTTCCCAGCCAGAACGTGCTAACCCGATATTGATGCTATACAGGTGCAGACGGAGGCGCGGATGACGCCGGCGGCGGGTACTTTAACTTCCCCGCGCCTGCGAAACACAGCGCGGAGTTTGTTGGCGAGCCGGGTCAGCCCAGTGCGAACTCGTCTGTCGCATCGCTTGGTAGAGAGTCTGTCACGGACAGTGCGCAAGAACCCAGAAGGCCGGACGTGAAGGCGTTGCAGGCGAATGCACCGGATGCGGACGCGGATAACCTCGATGGCGAAACGACCATCCGCCGCGTTCTCGAGCTCACGCATACTCGTTACCCACGCGCCCCACCGCGCCGCGTCGTTCAACTGCAGTACCTCGCCTGGCCCGACATGAACGTTCCCGCCAGCACCGGCTCCATCCTTCGACTCATCAACCAAGTCGAGCGCGAAGTTGCGCGTGCTGCCGCCGCTGAATCTATCGACAGCAACGAGACGCTTCTGAGCGGGAGCAGCGAGACGCTCGCTGGTAGTAGCTCCTCTGGCTCGCGCGATCTGTCAAGCGGGAGCGGGCCCACCAGCCCAGGCAACGAGAGCAGTGCATCTGGCTCCGAGCTCGACTCGAAGTTCGGCATCCAGCGCCGCGCGAGGCAGCCTCCGGTGTTGCTTCACTGCTCTGCTGGAGTCGGACGTACTGGCGGGTTCATTGCTGTTGATGCTGTCTTGGACGGGATCAGGCGGGAGATGGAAGAGCTGCGGCAGCGCGCGGAAAGAGGAAGAAGTCAGGAAGTCGAGATGGGGAGTTCGGAGGAGGATTTGACGAGGGAGGGTTCGTCGGAGGCGATGGAGGTCGACGAGAACAGTGGTGGTAGTGGCGATGTACCCGCCGCGGCACCGGATCTCGTCATGAGCCTCGGCAACGTGCATGTACCCGTGGCTGGCGAGGCGCCGATGGAGATGGACGTCGACGAGCGGGCGCCGTGGACATCGGGCGATCCCAAGCACGCTATCACGCGCTGGGAAGAGCCGCAGCCGCGCACGCAGAAGCACAATCTCGAGAGCCTGCGCAGTCCGCCACCCGTCACCGGCTCGTCGCCTATCGCGTCTTCAAGTGCAATTGGATCGAGTCCGTTCCCGCTCAGCCCGCCGCCACCTCCGAGACGTCGTACTCCGGAAAGCAGCCCAGGCGCAAGCAGCGGCATGGCTGCGATGAACCTTGATCTCAGCCCGCCGAGCAAGCGCCCGATCACCCCGCGCATCAAAAGCTTCAATCTCGGCGGCGCGCCTGCGTTCAGCTTCAACAAAGATGCGGGATTCAACTTCACTGGGAAGGAGCCGAGGATGGATCAAGAGAAGGGTTTCTTCGGCGCGAAGGATGCGGGCCCGAATTTGACGACCGGTGGGGACCAGCAGATGTTGAACCACCCGGCGCAGCCGACGCAGGCAGGGTATCCCACGCATGCGGGTCAGGCTCCGCCATTGGGTCAGAACTTCACAGGACACCGTACGAAGAGCGGAGGCTCGAGTGGCGACTCGTCGGGCGTCGGTTCGGGCTCAGGCTCAGCGCTTCCTTCAGCATCAGGTTCGGTCGTAGGCTCTTCAGGAGAGAGTGGAGGAAGGAGTAGGAGGGAGAGCAGCAGTGTTGGCGGAGGGCTGGCGGGTGTCGGCGGTATGCGCATCCAGAGCCCGTATCCGACGATGCTCGGGCAGCAAGGTGGGTATTCTCTCTTCGCGCACAAGCGCCTGTTTGGCTTGCGTGCTAATCCTGGTATTGATGTCCGAGCAGGTATCGCGAGCCTCGGGCCGCCGCTGTTCCCGTTCCCGGCGCAGGCGCCGAGTACGAGTGCGAGTCCTATGCCGCCGTCTGCGTCGGTGTCGGGTGCGCCGACACGCGACGAGAGTCCGGCGAGTGTCAGTGGGGCTAGTAGTGGGGAGGGCGCGAGTAGTAGTGGGGCGGGCACTGGGAGCAGTAGTGCGTTCGATGGTATGGCGGGAAGTACGTCGGCTACGAGCGCGAGCGCCAAGGACTCCAGCACGAGCCTGGTCAAGGGCATGGGCCATGGAAGTCAAGATGCAGGCGCGAGTGCGTCTGAGAACGCTGTCGGCGGCTCGAACGCGGGTAGTCGCGCAAGCGGTAGTCCGGATGCTGTTCCTACTGCTAACCCAGACGTCACGATGGCAGGACCGACTGCTACAGAGTCGACCACCATTCACCCCACACCGGAGAGCAAGAGCGGCCCGTCGGATCCGAGCAGCAAAACCGAACCGTCTGGCGTCAATAGTCGTGCACCCATGGCTCAAGCGACTAACGCCAAAGCTGCAGAGGCGGCCTCACGTCGTGCGCATGTCCCGCTTTCGGACCCTAGACGGACGACGCCGCCGACTCTCGACTACGCACCCCCGCGCGCGCTTCATGATAATGTTCACCGACCGGTGCCGCTGAGTGGACTCGACGAGCCGATCCGACGTGTACTGGAGGACATGCGCGAGCAACGGATGAGTCTGTGCCAAAGCCTGCGTCAGTACGTCTTCGTGCACCGAGCGGTCCTGGAAGGCGCATTGGCTCTCGTCGACGCTGAACGTGCTCGTGGCGGCTTGCGTCTCTGGGACGACCGTGGATCCGCTGCAAACACTCCGGGCGCATCTGGGATCGAGGACGTACCGGTCACTATGCCCTTGTCTGCTTCGGGAAATGCGAAACGCGGACCGAGTCCGACTGAGTTGGCCGCGCCGTCCGAGGTGGGGAAGCCGCTTGGACGGAGGGCTAGTGCGAAGAGGCGCAAACCTCGTGGAAGCTCCAGCGAGGACGATCGCAATGTTGCTGCTTTGCAGTGATGGTGCTCTGCTATACGGTACAAAAAACCTTTCTTTTTCCCCTTTGAAGTCTGACGTCTCTATATTAGCCTTTGCGTTTCCCTGCTTCGTTTCAATTGCATGCTTCTGCTGTGTTTGTGTACGTTAGATACGCGCCGCGCGCGCGCTTGCAGTTTCTCGGTTCTGTCACTTCTCATACTCCATCCACCCCTCAATATTCCTGTCCGCATTATGCCACCTCCACCCATAACTGTACCGATACCGTCTGCGACTCCGTTTCTCTATTCAGTACATCAATCTCCGCACGTCCGTCTCTTGTTGCTCGTTTGCGCACAACATGGTCGATAATCCACATACACAGTGCATCGTTGTATCAGCTGCTCTCATTATTTATGCATGTGAATCTGCTGCCCTTCGGCCGACGACGCGACGGAGTCAGATCGTGAAGTCAGGTGAGCGCGTCCTCTGAGTTGAACTTCCCCTGCCCGTATCTTGTTTGCTTGACAAGCCTCTTGCGTCTTCCTTTCGAGTGAAGAAGTTTGCTTACAGAAGACACGATCTGCGCTTAGAGAGCTGCGAAACATGCACGCGGGTGTGAGAACGGGTCCGTGGACCGTAAGGGTCCAAGGGACCTTGCGGTCACGGCAACGTTTCCTCGCGCGTCCGACGCAGCCTGGTCCGCCGCCTACCTTGTCCGCAACCTACTCTATGTATTGTGCACCCTTTGCCCCTCTCGTTCATATCCGTCACAGGACAAGCTATTGTGGTGGCACGAGTTCCCGTTTCGCCGGAGTTCGGTGTCGTCTATAACCGTATATCAACTTCCCGGCTCAACGATGCGCGCAGAAGACGTTCTGTCAGTGGATTTCGCCCACGCTCCTTATGCCGTTGGACGTCCGATTGCCCATTCAAGATTATTTGCTGCGCCAATCCCATCCCGAGACCTCGGTGATATGTGCATCGTGCATCGCGCGGTACATCTTCTCTCCGAGTCATATAAACAGAGATCCTAATGCTGCGACGGTTGTGTTCGCCCTTGCCCTGCCCGGTCTCCTTGTCTCAGCAAGCCGCTACGCAGCTCTTGCGCCTCGGAGCAGTCCCGCTCTTACGACCTTCACGCTTCACGCATAAAGACAAGGCTGTTACATGTCTGCAGAGCCACACTCAGTCGTAGTGTCGCGGAGCCCGACGTTGCGGCCAGACGAACTGGAGGCTGAGAAGCTCGACGTGCATGGCATGGACCCAGCCGATGAGCTTGTGAAGAAGGAGGACGTCAGTGTGTTCGAACAAAGACTCCCGCCGCCAGATGCGCCGACCTTCGCTGACTTTCCGGACGGTGGCTTGAAAGCCTGGCTGCAAGTTGCGGGCTCGTTCTTTCTCATCTTCGGCGCATGGTACGCTATTTACACGCTCTATGACCTGCCCTATTGACGCAAACATCGATGTCACAGGGGGAACTTCAACGCATTCGGCGCCTTCCAAACCTATTACGAAGAAGAACTGCTTCGAGGGACTTCCGCTTCTGCGATCAGCTGGATTGGCAGCATCGAGGGGTTCATGATCATGATCGTCGGTGTTCTCGTTGGGCCAATCTTCGACGCTGGTTACTTTACATCGCTCGTTGCGGCCGGCTCATTCATGATCGTATTCGGGCTCATGATGACAAGCCTGGCTACATCATACTACCAGGTCAGCCGCAGCAGCGCCTCACCACCACCAGTCCGTACTCAACCGTGTCACAGATTATCCTGGCTCAAGGGATCTGTCTGGGAATGGGTAGTGGTCTGCTATTCATTCCGAGTGTGGCGATCGTTGCAACCTACTTCGAGCGCAAGCGAGCCTTAGCGGTCGGAATCTCGGTATGCGGTAGCTCTATAGGTGTGTGCAACTCGTTCGCGTCCTCTTCCAATGTCGGGTCTGAACCTTCTCTTCAGGCGGAATCATCTACCCTGCCATCTTCCGCCAGCTTCAGCCACAGATTGGCTTTGCATGGACCGTTCGTACAATGGCCTTCATCACTCTTGGAATCCTCAGTTTCTCTCTCGCCGTGATGCGCACTCGCACCACACCTCGAGTACGCCGGGCCCTTCTCGACCTCTCCGCATTCAAGGAGCTTCCATATGTCCTTTTCTGCGTCGGGAACTTCCTTAGCTTCATGGGTGCATATGTACCCTTCTTCTACGGCCCCGCTTTCGCCCAAGCACATACCGGTGCCAGCACAAGCCTCGCGTTCTACATAGTCGCTATCTTGAATGGCGCATCAACACTCGGACGTGTAGTCCCCAACTTCATCGCCGACAAGACAGGACCCCTGAACATTCTCACCCCGTGCGCATTCCTCACTGGAATACTCGCCTTCTGCTGGATACCAGTGTCCGCGGTTGGGTCGATGGGAGTGTGGAGCGCGTTATACGGCTTATCGTCCGGCGCTCTTCTCTCACTTGCACCTGCGTCAGTCGCTAGCTTGACCGCAGACGTAGGCCGGGTGGGCACTCGCCTTGGGATGTGCTTCGGCATCGCCGGGGTCGGTCTCCTCATAGGCACCCCCGTTGCGGGTGCGCTGGTGGATCTTGAAACGGGGAATTTCGTACACGCGCAGGTGTTCAATGGCGCCATCGTCATAGGTGCCGCCTTCTTCATGTCCTTGGCGCGTATTGCGAAGGCTGGGTGGTCACTGCGGGTGAAGGTTTAGAAGATGAGACGTCGAGTGGTGAACATGGATTCACCGGAGATCCGGTTGATATTCTTCTTCTGTGATGTTCGGGCAGTTGAGGTTTAAATTGTTTTGCTGTGATACTTGCTGTGCATCCATAGAAATATCTCGCAAGCTTCCGTTATCGTAGACATGTCCTTAGATGTATCATTAGTATCCATGACATTAATGCAGAGTTTATTTCATTGATGTAGGATTAGTGGCGGTGTGCGCTTGAGGGGAAACGCGGCTTTGAGTAGCAGGCCGTCATCATGCCATCCGGTGCAACTGCTATAAATCGAGAATAGACCTCTGACTGCAAGAACGCAGCGATGCTTGGTATTGACCCCACGGGCAGTATAGGCAATACTGAGAGTCTGAGCTCCAGCCAGCTCACCACCTCTCACCACGCAGCATCGAAACCGACATTTCTCCTCGCACTCCGGTCTCATCCTTCGGCCTTCCGACTTCACATGAATATCGTGATCATCGCATAGTTCCGAGAGTCCGCAGAGCAAAAGATAGATTGCAGTACTAGCAGCAAGGATACATATAAAAGGTAGCACACAATAAGGGTGCGTTCGGCAAAAACGAAGGCCTTCAAAATCAATGACTTTTGGCCTTACTAAGCCTCGTGATTGGCTAGAAAGCCGACCGAAAGCTCTCGAAGGGCTTCAAGTTTCGTCAGAATTGCCTTGTAAGGGCAAAATATCACGACTTTCGTCATCGTTCATTTTTGCCGAACGCACCCTAATGTACCCCGGCCAAACCCATACCCCCCCGCCTGGTGCACATGCACAAGGGGAACAGCGGACCCGACCAAGAACTTCGCTCTACGTCTCCACGAGCGCCTGGATGATCCCGTCTTCGTGTCAGGAAGCCAAGTGACTCTAAAGCGGAGACGATAGGTTTTTTGACATGAGGGGAAGGAAGAACGCGCGAAGGCACATTTTTCAAGAGCGCGTTGTTTGCGCATGTTTGTTTTGATCGGACCGACCACGCGCATATCGTGCCGCACGGCCCGCGCCTTGTCCCAATCGGTTGACAAGCTCAAAGGGCGTCTTGGTTTGCCCCACCATCTCGTATTGCGGCGTTTGGGGCAATTGAAGTTGTCGTACTTGCGAGGCCATCTTGGTGCGCTCATTGTGTATATCGATGGCTATGCAGCACTGACCATATCCCGCGACGATCCAGAATACGACTCTCAATAATGTCCGCCCGTACCGAGAAGGTGTCGCCCAAGGCATCCTCTGAGGCCTTATTGTACGACTCTCAGAAGATGCTGGGGAGTATTGCTGCTGCGGGGCTGTACCCGGCAGACGAGATCAAGCTTCTGGATGAACTCATCCTCAGAGCGAAGGCTCGCCGAAACATGATCATTCCCATCGCCATAAAGCTGCCAGTCGAAATTCTTGGCGAGATTTTCGAATACTACGTCTGCGACTCTGACTCGGAAAGGAAGAAGAGACAGAACAGCTCCTGGGCGTTCCTCATGCTCGTATGCCGCTCATGGAGGGAAGTGGCTATCAATCATCCTGCCTTATGGACCAACCTCGGGAATCACAACACCAAGCTGTGGCCAACGTTCATCGCAAGATCTCACAGTCTTGCATTGAGCGTGAAGCTGTCCACCGATGGCACAGTCATTGGCGACACGCTTGCTGCTTCTCTTGCCGAGCTTCATCGCATACATTCATTCGAGCTGCGAGCGCCGCAGTCCTTGCTGGAGCAGGTTCTCCCTCAGCTGAACAGTGCGGCGCCAAAGCTCGTACACTTGACCTTGGTAAACCGATCGGATGGTTGGTGCCGCGCTCTGGAAGGGGATTTTGTATCGACGCACGCACCGGAGTTGCGCTCCTTGTCTCTCGACGGCGTGTCCTTCCCATGGGGTCACCGCGCTTCGAACCTACAATCCTTGACCATCGAGCGACAGATACGTAGATCCCGCTTGCGTATTGGCACAGAATCCAATGCATCGGATATGCTATACAGCCTCTCGAGTCCGTCTTTGCTGGCCATCAGCATACGAGATATACCTGGGCCATCGCCCCAGAATCTCGCGGCACCTGTTGTCGTAGCGCCGAACCGGCTCACACTTCTGGGACTTAGGAGCACCGCTCCCGAAGTTGCGCTCCCCCTCTGGTTCTCAACATCCAGTATACTTGGTGCCCTCCCGAACGCGTACATCGGGCTGCGCTCCCTTCCCGCCGACTTTACACCGCTTCATCTCGACAGGATTGTCACTCACGCCGCAGCGCACATGGCCAATCATCCTCACAACGTCACGAAGCTGCATATCCAATTTGGAACGAAGTTCAGTATCGACACGGACATGCTCACATTCATCATGCCTGCTCCCACATTCGAATCATCGTTCGGCCACATGCTGTTAGCGCTCTTCGCTGCCACGAATCCTGACCATCTGATGTCCCTGGAGATTGAGCTTAGAGAGGGCATAGATGTACCGATAGATGCCCTCGAAGCGGCCTTGTCGCGTGCTCCGAGCGTCGTCAACCTCAAACTCTCAGTCACACCTGCCACGCTTCACTCATTGTCCCGATTGCTCAGCAGACACGCCGTCCAGGGCTCAGTGCACGAGCCACTGCTGCCTGCGCTCCAGACCTTGAGTCTCTCGGGTGTGGACCTCACCAAGCAATATGAGGGTCGACCGATATACACGTTTGTGGCGACGATGCTCCATTGGAGAAGACTGAGGGCACCAATCTTGGGACCTTCCAGTATAAATATCACACAGACCTCGGTCACATCCACCGTCGCAACCAATTTCTCTGTCGGTGGAAGCATCTCCGTCAATTGTGACTATCCGCCCCTCGAATCTTGGGCATTCCCGAATGTGGAGCTTGATGCCGCTCAGAACGAGCCGTGGACTCCGAACATTAACTGGAATATGTTATAGACTCAGTGTGGAGCAGTGGTAAGCCGATTCTTGCATTTGCGCATATGTGGCGGAACGGCTGAACTCGAACTGTTTTGTCAGGCAATATTGACTTCACACCTTAGTCCACCGTTCTGGCAGTTGTAGAGATGGATAGACGCAGATGTGTCAATTGGCTCGTTCGGACGCTCGAGATATGAGGCAAAGGGGCGCGTGCTCGATTTCGTGAGCCGCGTCGTCGATCGTGGTGTGCCCAAGGTGTGCCTCGCGAGGTATCATCTCAGTCCGTAATTTGTACAAGTATCTCATGAAAGAATGTATCATTTCAACGACAACTGTGCACGATATGTGTGCGTGCTACCAGAGAGTCCCATGCACCATGCCTCCTTCCGCCGCGAAGATACCGTTCTCGCCGACGGTGACGGCCAGTGCACTCTCCACACAGCCCTCCAATAACGGTATGCCTCCGGCAGCATACGCTCCTACAGCCCAGATACCGGCTGCTCCTACGCCCAGCTCTCGTCGTGCGGATCCTTGTAAACCCATCGGGCCATAGAGTTCACGTACAGCGGCTTTGCCGTCAACCGTCAACAAAGCTCGCTCCAAGCGTGATACGGATAAAACGCGATCTGGGGATGGCGGTATGACGGGGTTCGTGGTCTGGTAGATAGCCTCATCCACGGACGTAGGCGAGGTTCGTCGGCCTTCCGGGCGTGGAAGGCGATGTGTTGTCATGGTATAGGATGGCGCGACAACAAGCGGACTGTGTTTCTCGCTGAAGGTGTGCCGTGCTTCTGGTGCTACAGTGACCATGTTGAGATCTCGCCTGTCTTGTGCATCGTTGGGTAGGAAAGCAGGATCTGTATGGTTAACCACGATACTCTCGCGATACGCTACACGGCTGAGGCATGCTGCGAATTCTGTTGTACGCCTCGCGGATGTCGAACGTATCCGAGCGAGTTGCTCGGCGTAGGTCTGGACCAAAGGAGCCGCGCGATTTGCCGGTGTTGCGAGGATAACATGAGCGAAGCCGCGATACACGGATTGGCCACATTGAATGTCCACAAGTCCATCGCCGTGCTCGTCAGGCTTCAGCGACGTGACGGGCGAGTCCAGGTGGACATTCTTCAACTCAAGAGGTGCACTCAAGCGTGCAACGACATCCCTGACGCCGTCTGCGACGACGTAATGGTGCGTGCCAAAGGTCTTCCAATTGAATTCTGTAAGACTCGCTTGAGCATGCCGTTACAAAAGTGGTGTGCAGGCGCCTACCTAGGAACTCCTCTGCTGGATGCATTCTCACATCGTCCGCGCTCGCAGTGCACACTGCAGAGAATATCGGGATGCAAAGATGCGCCAAGAACTCATCCCACGCGCGAGTGAGGCCAGTCCAGCGAGCCAAGGGTCCGCGAGGTGCACTCTGTGCAGCCCATTCCTCCCAGGTCACAGATGGCGCGGGTCGTAGGAAGGGTGCGCTGAGTACGAGGAAGCGGAGGAAGAGACCGAGGATGAGTAGCGTATGCAGGATGGATGAGATCCACGCGAATAGGCGGCCGAAGCCTTGCGCATGACGGACATCGGCGGTGGGGATCGAGAGCCCTTGCCGACCGCTCGCACCATCGTATATGAAGTGTGGATTGTATTCGGGCTTCAGACCCTTCTCGGCACCCGCAGTAGTGGATAGCGTGGAGAAGGAGTATGAGAAGTCCGTTTGTCGCGTGCGTACACCGAGATGGGCGTAGAGCGCTATGAGTTGGGGGTAATAGCCGCCTTGGAATGATCGCATCGGTACGTCCACGCGCCACTCCTCGCCGCCTCGGGTGAACGACACCGAGTGCGAATCCATGCCCAGCGACGATGCCTACAACGACGATGAGCCAGGAAATTCGAATGACAGTCACTTCAATGAAGATGAATGGCGAAACGCCTCCGGTTTCATTTCCTCGCTAGCCCAAGGATAAAGTGACCACTGTGGCGCATTCAATGACGGAGTATGTAGACTCGCCGGGACTTATATATGGGTGCTAGGTTATGTAGACGTACCTGCTCGAAGACATGCACTTCAAACTCGACATCGTTCCCTCCAGGATATTCGACGTCGCAGCGTGTGTTGAGGGTGGCGAGCAAGTAAGACGCGGTCAGCCCGGCAAGTCCCGAACCGACCACGGCGACCTTTACGATTCGCTGGGGCTGTGTTTGTGCAGGGTGCTGTTTCGACGAGGACTGTCGGTTAGGAGTCATGGCGAATGTGGTCAGTCGGACGTCGGTAGCCTGGACAGGGTGTTCACGAAAATAACTCGGCGGGTTTCACAAGTTCTCCTTGTGTAAAGCCGCGACGAGCGCGCCGAGGATAGCAGGACGGGGTAGAGGTCAAAGAGGCGAGCATATCTGCCGTGTACGTTTTCCTGCGTACCATCGTGCCGTCAGCGGACGGTAGCAACCGACCCACTTCGACGTGGTGCGAACGACAAGCGAGCTCGCTCGTTCTCACCGGCGACCTCGGCTACCGGTTACATAAAGGTGGACAGACGGATTACCGCATGCTCGCTGACATCGAGCGGGCCAGTGGGCCAGTCGCAGCTCTGGTATTGCGCGTGCAAGGGACACGGACGCGGGAAGCATTTCAATAGAGCGGAATACAGTATGATAAATGCATGGACTTGACAGGGAAGTCTAGATGATGTCGGCATCCCGTCAAAGAAGAGCGCCCATGGAAGCATCGGCATCGGCAGTTGCACGACTTCGACATCTGTACAACCGAACTTGCAAGTAGAGAGGCGTAAGACGAGAACGGCACCATGCCGTGCTGTAGCAGCAGATGTACATCGTAGAAATGACATTCAGTCGTATCGCCGGCGCTTTCCTCCTCGGTCAGGGCTTCGACTCCTCGACATAGATCGATCGCGCCAGCTCCTTCGTGGTGGCGAACGATCGCGCCCACCACGAGGTGGAGAGCGATAGCTCCCTCGCCGAGGCGACCTATCCCTCTCCCCACCTCTGCGCGGCGGCGGGGACACAGACCTCCGCCTATCACCATGATGCCGCCGGGGCGAGCGTGATCGTTGCCTGTCGTCTCTGCGGGGTGATCTATCCCTTCTAGGTGAAGCCGAGCGCCGTCGTGCATAGGTGTCGCCGCGAGGTCTATCTCGAGATCCTTCACCACGAGGTGGATAACCGCTGTCTCGCTGTCTGGGGCCGTAGCCATTGTCACGATCTCCCGGCCCGTCGCGATCGCGCCAAGAACCATTCCTGTCATCTCCGCGAGAGCTCATGCCAGCAGCGTTCGCGCCTGTCCCTGGTCTGTCCGTGAACGGACCCGTGATATTCGGACAGTCTGCGATACAAGCATCAGCATCGAATCTTGTGAATGAACGGCATAGTCATACCTTTCTTTAGATGTGGCCCTCCGCAATTGAAGCATCCTTGCCCAGCAGCTTTGGGTGGCGCGTTTGGCCCCGTTGTCGTGTCTTGGTCCAACAAATGCGTGTACTTCGTCCTGCCGCGCTTGCCAAAGTTCCTGACCTGCATGACCGCAGGCAGAGCACTGACATCAACTGTACTCTCCGTTGCCTCGGTGAAGTCGTGGCGCTTGAGGATCTCCTCGTCTTGATGGAACGCGCCCTTGTGCCAGTACTTTTGCAAGAACTTCTGCTGACCCTTCGGCTTCTCCGCACGCAACTTCTCCGCATGTTCGAGGTCTTCGGCTAGACGCTGAGCCTCGGGTAGAGCGCGTCTCCGTTCAATCTCGGCTCGTTCCTCCTCGCGCGCAAGCTCGGCTTCCTTGTCACGCTTAATGCGTGCGAGCTCGCGTACGCGCCAGGCGTCGAACTCGGCGGTAGGATCAAGACCATCCGTGTCGTCTACGTCCGGTGCCTCTTCTTCCTTCTCCTCTACGGCATGGTGAGTATGTTGATGACATGTCCACGAGATATCGATGATAACTTACTCTCAGCAAGTTCGCGTCGGATCGAGTCGGCCACCATGTCGTGACTTTCCTTCTTCCGTTGCTCTTCCTGTGCCGCTTTCAACGCGAGAGCCTCCTCCGTATTCTGATCGCGGGCCTTTGCTTCTTCGACAGTCACGCGCGCACGCCTATTCAGTTACCATGAAATATGAGTATGCATTACAATTGATCAGGATGGAGGACGAACTTTGGTACGAAGACTGGGCGAAACTGTAACTTGGGTTTCTCCTCCTCCGATTCAGACTCTTCCTCGCTGCTGGACTGTAAATTGATGAGCGCTTACAAGTAGCACCGTCGTGAAAAACATACCTCTTCAGAATCTTCAGCCTTCTTCTCATCCTCATCTTCCTCTTCCGAACTCTCCTCTATATTCCGTCAATATACGGAAACGTGCGTGTTCGGTATATACACGTACCTTCACTGCTTTCCACCGCCTCCTTGCCTCCTACCAGGACCTTGCCCTCCTTGATTTGGACGTCGCCTAACTTGACGCTCATCTTCGCCGCCTTCTTGCTCGTGCCTCCCTCATCCTCCTCGTCAGAGTCGTCCTTGGTTCCACCCGCCAGGAAGTCCTGTTCCCCGCCAATAGCTTCATCTCCATCCTCCTGAACCTCCTGAATCTCAGCATCCGAATCTTCGTCTGAAGAAGGCAGCTCGCCAGCACCTTTTGGTGCTTTCCCTTTCCAGTAACGGCCTACCGGCCGCGCAGGGCGTGGGGCTTGTTTCCGGGCGACCGACGCCATAGCCAGACCACCAGATATTTATGTTCACGGCTGTAGGCAGAAACAAAGGTCTTGAGAAAACGCTAGCCGGGTACGACAAAGGAATCCAAGATATCAAGCAGTGTGCTGGTGGTAGAATACCAAGTCGAGCGCATGGCGCGCAAGCCGCTCAGCAGTGCGGCGGTCGCGCTCACATGACTTTCGTTCTCGCTGCCTGTGTCGCGTATTTTGCTCTTGTTTCGTGGTTGTACGATGAAACCAGTGTGAGCATGCTGAGGATACGTACGGCAACTCGCGAGTCCGCGCTTATTCGCCGCTCCGCTACCTGTCGACCAGCGTGGGATTATCTGGACCCGGACTCGACATCCGGAACGCGGCCGTCGTTGGTCTTCTTTGCACCACCATGTTGCATGGGGATATCAGATCCTCAAGCCCGCCTATACAACTCCCTTGAGACTCACGCGCTCCGTGCTTGACATAGTCGATGGACGATATTATCAGCGCAGATATCCCTCTATGTTCTGTACCCTTCCGATCGCACACACAGTGCATTGTCTTCAGCCTCGAGGACCTTTCGATGGTGGACTTCGGAATTAGACCCCCTCGGCGCAACGGTACTTCTTGAGAATGACGACGTCATTGACCTTGTGTCTCACCCGCACTGGTGTCATAGCTCTGTGCGCATCAAGCGAATCGCGTTTGGGCAGATGGGGGTAGATGTAATGTGCGTTATATGTGAACATCCTGATTACGTGGCCACTGACCTGGCGTCTATCATAGATACATGCAGTATCTCGACCCGGAGTCATGAATCAATCAGTTAACCTAATAAGAACCGACAGTATCAACTGGCGGGGTCGCATGATCCGTTTCTGGGCGCCCAGTGTGTTTCGCAAGCGCAGCACAATCTGGGGCGTCAATGAACGCCGTACCACACCGCCATGTACGAAGACTTTTATAGAGTACGAGGCGTGCGCGGTGGCCGTTACTGAGTAGCCCTCACGTTGAATCACCCTCGCGCGCTGAGTGTAGGTGATTGACTGCATAGCCACAGGTCAACTTCGCTGCATAGCTTCGCATCTGGCAAAATGCAGCGCTCGCCGTTCGCGATCGGTGCCGGAGTCGACTCACGGGTCGAAGCGTATCGCCGGTACCACGCGGCTAGCGGTCTCCGGTTCTCTTGCCTTGTACGCTTGCCGTGCGGCTTAGGCGCCTTCTAATCCCTCCGCTGCGGCCAGAGCGGAGTGGGGCTCTAGAGAAGCTGATGCCGCAGCTCAGCCTTGTTTTGCGGCTTGTCGGTTTTGATGTCAATTTCGCAGGAGTGGGGACAGTGTATGAAACCCCCGGTACACACGCGGAAGGGGAGGCGAAAGCTATAAGAATGCAGCAGCCCAATAGTCATCTCGGCCCTCGAATGCTACTCTGCCACCGCTACTATGCCGGACTGGAACGACCCTCAACTGCTGGACGCGCAATCTGGTACGTGATCTACTACCTGTGATATGTATGCTCGTATCTAACTTCATGCCACAGTCGCATTCCAGAGAATGACACTCGTCTTCATCGGAATCTGCCTGTGCGTCGCGTCACTCTGAATGGCGGGAAGTCAATGGGCACCTCACCTCGAGGCGTGCAGATACGACTTCGCGAGCTCGATACCGTTCGATTGGAAACTTGTGGCGAGCACGGAAGTGCAACGATCTCTCCTGGGAAGAAGCGTCAAATGGGTTGGTCAGACTCCCTTGATGCATCGTGTCACCGTTTCGCTCACGTTGACGCCCACCAGGTATACCTGATATGCAGATACTGCAGCATTGCTACCTGTGCCGAATTTGCCGCCCTTGTGTGCGCTCGTGGGAATATTCATTGCACAGTGAGCTCTCAAGTTCAACCTTCATGAATAAGAAAGGACGCTCATCCTATCCTAGGCCTTGATAAAGATGATCAATGTACGGCGGAAGATATGCACCGGTGTGACATGGGACCTGAAACCTACATTCACACAGTCTACCGCGAGGATCGGCGTGATCTGTGGCACCACACTATTGTTCGTCAGGGTGTATGTGCTTCATTGCAATCATGCCAAATCCTTCCTAAGCATGATGCTATCCAGTTGTGCGATTTGGGAATGGAACAAGAAGATCGTGGGGTTATACATCGCTGCATGCCTTGCCAACCTTGCTCTGTCGGTCCGATGTACGCCCCTCATTTGATGGTATCTTCCGTCAGGCAGATCTCCCTGACCGCCCTCACTACAGCTACCATTGATGTGAGCGATGCCCGTGTACAAAGATCGGTCACTGATTCAAACGACGAACTGCACAGGTCCAATCACACCTCGAAGACCGCCCAACCGGCCCTATCTGCAGTATATCAGCAGCGGAATTGGATGCATGGAGTACATTTCTATCGGTTGTATCGGACATCGTTCTTCTCTTGCTCTTGTTTGCAGGACTCTGGCGATGGAGTGGTTTGCGCGGTGCACGCATCTTTCAGCTCATCCGCGATCAGGTATGAGTCTGTGATTGGATGACCCATACGAAGTTGGTGATGAACAGAGTAGGGGCTTGTCTCACTGACTGTGGCGATCGGCCTGCAGATCCCGATGGCTGTGAGTCTATCGGTCACGTACACTCAAGAGTTAACCGTCGAGCCTCTCCCAAGACCCTCCTCTTTCTCAATTACAATGGTACGTTTCTTTGATTGCACCACAATGCACGCACTGACAAAGGCGCAGAATACATGAATATGGTACGTTCATCTGTCAAGTCCGATATCCCTCGATGTTCTCACTCAGCGCAGTATTTCACCACTCTCAACTGTGCGTCCCCTTTTCACTGCAAGATCACAGGCCATTGCTCACACGTGGAATACATAAGCCATGTTGATGTAAGTCTTGTCTAGCCGATTCAGCTTGTTTGTTTAGCGGGCATTAGTCTCACAAGCGGGTAGACCGATGGTGACAACGTATTGCTATCGTTCGTTGATTAGCTTCGCGAAGGAAAGCGTAATGTATACGGACGAATTGAGGTGCGATAACCCATCATCTGCGGTGGCTTTCACTCGGTTAATCGCCTGCTACAGTCATCCGCAGACATTGCATCTGCCTAGAGTACCTCGTGGTTTTCGGATGTCTGTCCATACCTCCGAAGGAGAAAACATATAAGATGAGCGGTGGGTTAAGAGGGTCATTCGTAAAGATACTCCGATGAGCCATCGTACCAAGATAGGCATCCAAGTTTTAGTTGGAAGAATGCAGCCCGCCAGCTCCGTCAGGCACTGCCTCTTCGGTAAGAGACTACAGATCGCGTGGGGCGTGGGGTATATACTATCCGGGCGACCGACGCCAGCTCCGGATATCAGATGAAGTCTCTCCTCATAGCTTCAGTCAGAAGTATGAATTGTAAGCTAGCGCTGGCGGAGGGTAACGAGGCGGTCTAAGATATGAAGCGCTGTGTTGGTGGCAGAAGACAAGCTCGAGCGCGGGCAGCGCGCGAGCCGCTCGCCAGTGCGCTCGCGCTCACATGACTTTCGTTCTCGTTCACCTGTGCGACACATTGCATCTCGATGTGCTCTCTTGCAGTGATTAGGTAGCTCGAATAGTGAGGGCGTGTCAGCGAGAAGGCAACTCGCAAGCAAGCCCGCGAGCCCCGCGCCATCATCGGTCAGCGTGGGATTCTTAGACGCCGGATTGAGCTCATGAGACGTGGCAGTCGCCGCTTGTTTCCTTTGCACCATCACCAGACCATCATGTTGCATGCGGGTTTCAGTCGGCATAGCCTAAAGCTGATAGAGTTACTTCAACTCCTGCGCCGCCTGTACGCTACACTCTGTTGCGGACTCGGATCTGACCTTCCGATGCCGTCCTCTATGCCGAGGTTTCATGATTGGGTGCCCCAAAGTGCCGTAGCGCGGTGTTCTATCACAGTGAACACAAAATTATATGCGCTTCTCCCGCCCCGTGTGGCTCCGGCGTTCCATATTGTGCCTCCATCGAACAGCTATCAATGTGGATGAGAGTACAAGGGGCGAAGCTCTCTGGTTCCCGAGCTCGCGGGTTTCGCTGAGCCCCGCCATGCCTGACTGGACCAGTTCGGATCTTCTGTCTCTACAAGCGGGTAGTATATTCACCAGTTTGCTACCACTTGTCTGGCATTTCTGAATGCAGACGCTAGCTGCTTATCAGAAGATGACGCTCGTGTTCGTTGGGATCTGCATGTGAGTTGGTTTCTGTACCTTTCATGTTGGTAGAGATCCCTTGACTGAACAAGTATTAGGTACGATTTTGCGAATACGATATCCTATGACTGGATGTTGTTGGTCGGCACGGACATGAGCAGACGATCGGCGCTTGCCCGAACCGTTAAATGGGTTCGTCCGGCGACCAAGCCTTATTGCAAGGTTGAACGTTCATCTGTCTGCGGTAGCTATACCTTGCCTGCCGGTACACCAACTTGGCCACAAGCATATGTCTAGCTATGCTGAGTACTGCACGCGGTCGGATATCATGCGCCGTGAGCATCATTGCCGTTCTCTGGGAGCACGAGACTGACAGGACTTCATAGACCCTCTTGAGGATGTTGGATGTGAGTCGGCGCAGCGGCGTGCGTACTGACCATATGCCGACTTTCCCCGCTAGATCTTTGGCGTTTTGACAGCGAACTTTAGCACCACGCTCCTGTTTATCAGAGTGTACGTAGCAGGCCATATGATCAACGATACATCACTGAGATACGTCAAGAGGGGCCATTTGGGCGTGGGATAAAAGAATAACGCTGGCGTTCTTCGTTGCCTTTCCTGTATCTATTGCGCTAGGCGTACGGTGTGCGTGCATTCTTTGTCTGTCGTTGATACTCAGCCGACGTGAAGGTCGTCTAGCGATGGTGACTGTACGTGTTATCCACTCTTTGGCTCTCGAAAGTCCGCTCACGGCTCCTACCAGATTCAATCATCCCGGACTGACGTGACGATTGGTCCAATATGTGACATGTCCGATGTCAGTATTGACATGGCAAACGTTATTGCGCTTCTTATCGTAGATCTTGGAGTGTTGGGACTGATGTTCACGGGGCTACGACGCTGGAAGGACCTGCAAGGTATTCTCATCTGGCAACTTCTTCGTGACCAGGTAAGCCCAGAGAGGAGACGACCTGGACTACTCGTGGAGCCTAACTTCAGCGGTAGAGTCTTGTCTACCTGACGTTGGCTATCGCTCTGGAAGTGCCCATGATGGTGAGTTTGATGATAGATCAACACTGTGCCCCCGTTCAACACATTCTAGGTGTTCTTGATACTCGATTATAACCGTATGTTTTCTCGCTCTGTAACCTCCTTCGAAGACATTGATCCACCCGCATTCGGTAGAATATATGATCATGGTAAGATTAGATGAAATCGCTCTCAGCACCTATGGTGTCTTACGCTGTGCGTGAAGTTTTTCACAACACTAGATAGTGAGTCGATCTGGACTGGGTTCGATGTGACGCTCATCACCGTCTTCAGTTATTCTGCTGTTCGTACTTCATCCTGCTCAATCTCCTCTCACATCCGTGACCCTTTCATAGTCCTCTGGCGACGACGCAATTCTATCGCTCGCTGACAAGCTTTCCGAGAAGGCATAATGGGTATGCATACGAGTCCAAGTGCGTGCGCTGGTTTCATTGGACAGAGGCTGTTCTAACATATCGCAGCTATGCACAGTCTATTCGGTTCTCAAAGGCTCCCCCGGGCTTCCGTATGTCTGTCGAGCTAACTGACTTGAGCGAAGGGTAGGATGGCATGAAGAACATTTCGAGCGCAGCACGTGAGTATCTCGGGGAAACGTTGTAGCAAATTCAGTATACGGGATGTACGATGATCTAGTGATGCACTGCCAATTTCCCACACTGTTTGGCCTATATGCAATGAAACCCTGCAGATGTGATTGAACGGTGATACCCTCAACGTGTAAGGTCATTCTGTTTGCTATTCAACATGCCCCAATGCTTGCATCTTCGAACGGCTGATCAGCCTTCCCCGCATACCAAACTCGACGGCGAATCGCCTCAGTCCGAATCCTGGTCCCAGATCGGAACGTCAAGATTCGGTTCTCACGCGTCCAGATCGATCCCCGCATCGTAAACTTCCTCGTTCTCCGAGTCCCACAACACCGGGCCCCGCGGCGAAGACGGGTTAGAAGGAGAAAATCTGCCTGTCTCTCCGTCCCAATACACGTTCACGCGTTCGTTGATCGTCCAGGATTCGACCATCTCCTCTGTGACGTCGCACCACTTGATCTCTAAACTCTCGGGCCCGAGACGTGGCGCGTGCTTGACCCTGTGGGCGAGTACCATCTCTAGGAACAGCGAGAGCTGAGTACCGTCGCTAGCAATCCAGGTGAAATCCGTGTGCACCACAGAGAGAGACCTGAGCAGCGGGAGAACAGGCTGGTGCTGTATGGATTGCTCTGTGTTGATCACAGGATCGGAAGTACAGCTCACGCCCTCTGCACTATGATCGCACATTATAGTGAAAAGATCCGCTATAGTTTGCGGACTCGTCGACAACGTAAGGTTCGACAACTGCGATAGGCGAGTAGAGATTGTTTCGAGCACTTGTTTTGGCAATTCGATGCCGCCCCCTAACTCCAAGCGTATCAAGTGCTCGAGCGGCGTCACGAGTAGAATGCGAGCGGCTGGTGCATTGCGATTGAATCGGAAACTCGTCGGAGAAGGAATACTGAGCTTGGTCCGGTCGCTCTCTATAATGAAGTGGTCGGGTGGAGAGTGCACGATCAAGCGTTCAATCGTTGACGTGAGGCGGGATATGTGAGTCTCGACATGACGGATCACGTCCTGAAATTGGTCCATCGTGATCGTAGGCCGAAAGGTGTCGATGTAGATCCGAACAAAGTCGAGTTGTGGTGCAGAGAACCAGATCGGTAGGGTGAAACTGGTCGATGAGTTCTCGATCGTGAGATGTTTGAGAGTCGCAGGCAGAGCTATCGGCGCCCTCGACTCTAGATCGTTGACGATAGTGACGTCTGACATGTTGTGAATGGACAGAGACTCGAGAGAAGAGAGCGATATGCTATGAAATACGTCGGAAACGGGGACGGTCGTAGCTGCGGGGGCCATTCCCATGCCTCTTGCCGGCAATTGGGATCCCAGCGTCAACTCGCGTAAATTCGAAGCATAGGCACCCCACGGGAAGCATACACCCGATAACCAGATACTTCGCAGGTTCTGCGCAAGTTCTGACACAAAATCCTTTCGTAGGGAAGTGATCCAGCGCCCCGGGTTGACCTCGCCGACATACCAACGGTTTTCATACGTCGCCTCCAGGTAAAGGGTTTGAAGGTTTGGCGCGGCAACATTCAGCAAAGGGACTATCTGCTCCATTTCTGTATTTTTTATCCGAAGGTCTATTGATCGCACTCGATGTAGCTGAGCGAGAGCAGCGAAAAGGGGCGTAGCTATACCCTCCTTGTCACTGTCTGAGTGGATGTCAACATGTCGTGAATGAGAGCGCTCCATAAATAGTGGCCATCGTTGAATATTCTTCTCAGTCAACGAGGTCCACAGAGCATGATGGTTGATTGCGACATCTCTCCAGTACTTGCAAACGAGCATAATGGCGGGCCAGAGAACTGCCGACGTAGACAACACGCTGTCCGAGTATATCCAGGGGAATATGCCGTGAGCCTGGTATTCAAAGATGTCGCCTAGTATCTCTGGTGGCAGTTTTGAGATGGGGACGAGGGTATTACGATGTGTCTTCGCGGCTAAGATCTGGCGGTCAATAGCTTCGACTTGATCAAGCCATGCAGGACGGGCATCCACGGCGACTGCCACCGACGCATTCTCAAGTATTTGTTCAGGCATGATGCTAGGGGATACATGGAGTGAGTTGTCGTTTGGCATAATACCTCTAGCTATACATACCGTGTAGGTCAGACTGTGATCTTCATGAACGTGAACGTCGAGGACAAGTCGGATGCCGGAGTACGCTTCTTGCTCGGATAACCGCGCCGATCTTCCCGCGCCCTTTGTCCTGCGCTAGCACGAGCCACATTGATCCAGACGAGCGCGCTTGCTTCGCGCTATCACCCACTCCCATCGCGGGTATCTGACACACTTCGGGGTACTCGGGTCTATCTCTGTCTGTCCCGCTTCTCTCGCGTAGCCTAGACGATACCAGACTTGGTGGTCGTTATACACGTTCCCTCTCTAGTATCTGCGCGCCACCCATTCTCCGACTACCACTTGCGCGATGTCCTCTGGTGTATATCTGCGTCGCCTTGGGAAGGAGCTCACGGAGATTAAGTCTGAAGGGCTTCCTGAAGGTCTGCTACTTGCCTACGAGAGTGCGCGCACGGAGGCTCACTATATTCTAGGCGTGAAGCTTCTTTCCGCAGATGATCTGCAGTGCTGGCTATTCTCCATCGAAGTCCTTGGAAAGAGTCTCTTCGAGGTCCGATACACGTCCCTCATACCTATGCACGAATTCTGAATGTCTCATCATGCACAGGGCGAGGTATTCGCACTCAAGTTCCGCTTCGATACCTCTTACCCTTTTGGTGCGCCGATCGTCACTTTCGTCGTAGACGATAAGTACCAAGCGCCATTACACCCGGTAAGGCTATATCGCTTCCTTTTGAGCTTCATTTGTTCATTAACCCGGTCATCAGCATGTCTATAGCAACGGGCATATCTGCGCGTCGATCCTTGGGGACGACTGGTCCCCCAGCTTAAGCGTTGTCGCTGTCTGCATCACGCTGCAAAGCATGCTTGCGTCGTGTAGGACTAAGGAACGGTGCGTTGCTACGACTCCATTGCGATCGGGACGGCGTTCATTATAGGTTGGGGTAGGCCGCAAGGTAACGACATGTATGTGCGCACGGCGCCGGATAACCCCAAGAAGGTGCGTTCTGTGCCTCGGCTCGATCAGAGAGCGTACTGACAGAGCATATTCTCAGACGAAGTTCATGTATGAGGACGACACGTACGTTGGAAACGCCCATATACATCGGACTGAATACTCACTCATCGCCGCGCAGTGTTTAACGCTATCTATACTCCCGCCTTGCTCCTCTCGCTCTGTATCCAAGCTGCTGTTCCGTTTCTTCTTAGGCTGTGCTGTAACGAAGGATACCAAATGAGATACGTATCAATACGCGTGAACGTTCGCCCAAACCCGATGAACTCTTGGTTGATCGATAGCATGGCAATTCAACGTACTGTACAACGGTAGATGGAGAACTCGACAATCGCAAACAGATAATCGTGGCAACAACGAGGACTCTCACAATGCCACAGGAACTGGTCGAGGGATATACGGAAAGGCGGATATCATAGATCATGTAGATGAGTAGCACATCAAGACGAACAGCAGCTCTTCTTCACAGGCACCGGAGGTGGAAGCGGCGATACTTCCTCCTCTTTGCCCTCTTTCTCGGCACAGCAACCTCCGCATGCCGACCCACAACCGCATTCTCCTCCACATCCACAGCTGCCCCCACAGCAAAGTTTGGGGATCTCCACCGGCCGCCCTCCTAATATCGGCGGCGGCGGAAGCAGCGCGGCATTCTTGAAGAACTTTTCGAAGATGGCGCTGCGGGCAACACTACTCTCCCCTGCATCCGCGGCCTCGCCGGGGAGCACGCCAGTGGACGGGTCGACGCAGTTGCCACACGAGTCGCCGCAGCGCTCGGCGGAAGAATCGTCTCGATCGTGCTCTGCGCATCCAAGACACGAGCAATTCACGCCGCACGAGCAACCTGAGCCCGCGATCGTCTCGAGCTTGCTGAAGCTGGGCATCTCGCTCGTCGTGGGGAAGTCCGGTAGGGAAGCAGGTGAGAAGAGTAGCGGAGGGAGATCGGGGCCGGGTGTTGGCGAGGAATGTGTCTTGGCACGCTTGGGAGCAGGCGCAGGCGAGCTACGAGGCGAGCAGCAGTGTTTGCGCGAGCGCGGCTCTGCCTGGTTTGCCGGAAGCTGCACCGGCGCCTGTTTGGGCGCCTGTCCGTGTTCATCGGCCCTGAACAGTTCCTCAGCGGCACGCGCGAGAGCGTCAAGACCGCTGGGTTCTGCTGAGGATGCCGAAGCCACCGCAAATGCAGAGGCAGATGCCGATGCGCGCTTGTCGCAGGTACAAGTCCAAACATCAGGACACGAGCAAGGGTTCAATAGGGCGTCAACTATGTAGAATGCAATTACGATCAGTTGTGGCCCTGAATATGAATGAAGGGGCTCACCTTTCTGTCGCGGATTGGCCGGTGTATCATTCTCAGACGGTTTGCGCTGTGCCATAGCGTCTGCGAGCCCATTTGGAAGGGTTGGCTCCAGCGGCATGTACCGCTTCTCTGTGCGAGCGTCAAAATGCATTGAGCATCGCCATCCCAGGCGGTAGATGTGGGAACATAACACAACGCACGTTTCGTACCAAAAGCCTTCTCCGCGCGCGCCGGTTTGACCTCGGCGCAGGTGCATTTCGAGTGTACCTTCTTCTTGGAGCGCGCCTCGCGGCAGTTCATGCACTGGGATACAGGACGGCCCTTCTTCTTGATTTCATAGAGGGGGCGATCCGAGTGTCCACAACTGGAAGAGCGATGTCCTTTGATGCATGCCTCGCTGACTATCTATCAGTCATGCGTCCTAGACAGGCGTGGGTATAGCCTCGTACCAAGCGAACTTCTTGTCATTGATGAGCACCTAGAACTCGAGTTGAGCGGCTAGAAGATCCGTAGGAAGTGGGGACCAAGTACCATTCACTCTGCACTACCTACGCGATGCTATGAAGGGGGGAGATTGTCGCATAAACGGCGGAAGGAGATGGCGGAAGGAGAGAACAGCTGAGACCACGATCGTCGGACGGCGCTGTGTGAAGGCGTGGGAGAGGCGAGGGTCTATGTATGCCTGTGGGTCCAGCACGCGAGGAGCGAGGCTTTGGGCGTCTAATCGTAGCCCCACGATACGAACGACGCCGTATACGAGAGCGAGGCCAGGGCGAGGCAATTCTTAAGCCACATAAGGCAGAGCTTTATATATCGCTGACGACGATGAGCGCTGACGAGGCCATTTGGCCTGATCATGCGAACTGCTCACGTCTTCTCAGCCTCTTCTTCGTGGATAAAAACAACGGTACGAGAACCTTCGCGGTGCCCTATGACTTTACGCACTTCCGCTATTGGATACTCTAAGGTTCACGTACAGCAGCAGTCCCTGCGGGTCGACGCCCGCTATACATATATCAAAGTCTAGATCGTTACCTGAACACTATTCTGCTTCGTCGAGAGCGCCCGCCGGAGGCCCGGCAGGTTCAGATACCATAGCAGCAACGCTCGTTCCCACAGCGCCCCACGTATTCGCACTTCCTTCGCGCTTGACCTCATCGCAAAGCCGGCGGAAGGTGGCAACCTGCTCCTCCGCGACGTTGCAAGATCTTATCTCGAGGACTTCGAGGGGCGCTTCCGTCAGACGCTGTATGAGAGTTGCGCCTAGGCCCTCGCTGCGGGTTGGAGAGGCAAAGTGAACGTTAGACGCGACGAGTTTCCGCATCCTTGGTAAAGCCCCGGGCGTGTTGAGAACGTGCACGAAGCCATAGGCGGCATGCCCACCGAGAGTCACGATCTCCGTGGAAGGGAACAACCCCAGCGCCGCCCAATCCTGCGCGGGCACACTACTGAGAGGATCGCGCGAGCTCAGGAGCAGCTCGTGCGCAGCGTGCAAGGGTAATGCGCCCAAGATTGCCAGAAAAGCCGCAGCGCGCTCGACACGGGCGTTGAACGCCTTCCATCGGAATGTGATGTTCAAGTGGTCCTTCTCCTCCCTGAAGTCGCCATTCTCCGCAGGCGTAGCCATGCGCACTTCGAAATGGTCGGTCTTGAAGTGTCTGACCTCACAACGCTGCTTGGGCTGCGAAGCTCGCGGCGTAGCTAATAGAGATAGAACGCGCGCGGCAGCGGTGACAGACGGCACTGCGTCCTCATGCTCGTCCCTCTGCGCCATCTTGATGTAGATCGTCAAGAGAGGAGGTAGAGAAAGGTGCCCGACGAAATCGCACACGTCGAGTGCGTGGTCCTCGAGGGAAATGCGTTTGAGCTTCGGTAGGGTGACGCGCTCACCAGCAGGCGGTAGGGTTGGCACCGCAGTGCTGCTCGAAGGTACAAGATGTAGAGCATTTGCCACTCTGAGGTGCTCGAGCTCGCTCATGGGTCGTAAAGCAGCATACAGCTCCGACCTACAGACCCGCTCTGATAGCTCGGTGAGCGAGAGCCGTGTCAGACTGCTCGAAAAGATGGGACTCTTCCATTCGAAGCGTAAGGCAAGACCTTCGAGCGCGAGGTCACGCAAGTGTCGCACACGGCCTGCGAAGATATCGCCGGGTATGGTGAGGGGTTGGAGACCCTGCGCGGTCTCCGCCTGGAGATGAAACTCGAAGAGCTCGTCGGCCGGCTGTTTCAACAATGAAACAAAGCGGTCATATGTAGGTGCGGGAACGGATTCGAGATTCAATGCGCGCGTGTGGCTAAGGTGGCCGAGCACTGATGCGACGAGCTGGTCGGACGGGTTCCATCGAGTATAGAGCTTTCGCCACTCCAGATGGATCTTGATCGGCGCGTTCTGCGAACGTTCGAGGCAGAGAGGGGCCCAGAAGGCGGGCGTCGTGATTATCTGGGACCAAATGGTAGGCATGGAGAGTGACAGGGTTCGCCAACGTCGCGATACGTGCGTTATCGAGAGCCACGTCGATTCCTCATGCGGATGGAAGGCTTTCCAGTGGGCCTGTGCGGGGAAGTACAGGAAGACCTCGCGTAGAACGTCATCATCTAGAAGGTCGTCTATCGCTGCAGTAGTCTGGTTGGCTTCTGGGCTCTGGTCCGTGGGCTCTTGACCCTCTGAGAGAGCGATTACCTCTTGTTTCGGCTCGACCATGACGCGCAGATTCAGATGAAGGCGCAACGAGATGAAGATGGGGGAATGCGCGACTAGAGATTGCTACCCGATGCGCAGCTATAGTCTATCGGCCAGCATCGGCACACGACGGAGTCCTCATGATGACAGTTCACTCGCAAGAGGCGCCCGTACCGGCGGACAAGGGTGGGAGCGCGCGAACGGGTATCAGCGACGATGCCCGACGCGGTCAGGTGAGATCATGTCAAGACCTTGCAATCCCTCCAAAGCCTTGCGGGTGGTTACAATCGAATTTGACTGCACTCCGAGGCGTTCCCGCGCCCACAAGGCACTCTCGACCGTGTCTCTTATTGCTTGCGCCTCGGTCTCGCCCGTCGGCCATAAGAGGTGAGGACTTACCTAAATAACCGCACGGCGCGCTGCCGTCTCCACGACGCGGTCCCGAGCCCGCTTGCCCCAGACGACCATCTTCATCACCCCGCACCCCGCTTCTACGGCCTCACAGTCTGAAGGCGTAACTTCTGCCATGAGACCGATAGCAAGCTCCTCCTCAACAAAGCCTCGCCGAGACAAGAAGAACAAGAAAGTCCGGGGTGACATCAATAGGACGGACATCCTTGGCTACCACTACCTCACCAGAGCATGCACCATCCACGCCCCCGAATTTTATACTGGCCCTCGGATGATGCCAGCTGACTGCTGGCCAAGGATGGAGTACGAAATGCGCGAGATGCTTCACTCGCACGATCGTCTTCGCATGGAGACGCGGCTTCTGCGCGCGGCTTGCTCGAGGCCGAACCCAAGTCCGGGTTTGCGGGTAGAATTCGCTGCTAGGTACCTAAACCTGTTTTGCATGTCAACTAGTGCGCTTTCTGACTATGCATAGGCTATATACAGGTACACACGCTGAACTGGACCGCCCGCGTGCGCTGGAGCTGTGGAAAAGCGTGGCCTCCATGCCTCCCCCACATGGTTCGACCATCTCCTCGGGCCCCGACAAAGCCCTCGCACGGAACATCGCCGAAGCAAACCTCTTCCTCTGCAAGGTCAACCTCCGCACATTCCAAGACACCTTCGCCTGGGCCGACCTCGCCGCCGCCTTCCGCCACGGCGAGGCCAGCGCCAGGCTCGGGTTGTTCGGCACAGCGTCTTACATGGCTGTATCCAAGATCAAGAAGTTCGTCCTCGCGCAGATCCACATCGGAGACCGCATGTCGGGCCCGCCACCAGATACTGGACTACCGCCCATTACGAGCGCGCAGGATGCGGCTTATGTGGACGAGATACTGTGGTGCTTGACACTGGCGAAGGGTGCGGCGCCGAGTGCCCATTATGAAGACGATTCGGACGATGAGAGCGACGAGGACGTGCTAGCTTGTGGTAGGCCGGGGTGCGATAACACGACTACTACGCCGAGCGACTTCAAGCGCTGCGGTGGGAAGTGTCCGATGCATCTCAAGCCGTACTACTGCTCCAAGGAGTGTCAGAAACAGGTCAGTCCACCTTCAGTCCTTTTTCGCCACGCTGATACTCACTGACACGACGGGGTTAGGACTGGCAGCGTCACAAAGCCGAATGTCGACGCCTCGACGCGTCTGAGGAGAAGCACATCACGTTCACAACGCTCCAAGGCAAACAAGCCGAGCTCGACCTCTCCGGCCTGAAGAACAGCAAGGTCGAAGTGGCAAAGCATGTCGCGGGGAGCTACGACTTTGTGCGCAAAGACAAGCGCGTCCCTCCCAGCCTTGCCGCCTTCTTCGGGGAGATGGAGGCGGCTGCTAGCGAGAATAAGAACGGACAGACGCCCGAGGAGTTCGTAAGGATGATAGAGAAGTGGCCGAAGCACTTTGTGTTGCCTCATCACTGAACGGCTGGCGAGCGTGGACTGGCTGCGGAGAGGATACTCCTCTTCTCGTACTCATAGCTGCTGTGCACATTCTTGCAGACCGACTTGCTAAGGCTGCTGTTGTATGATTATCTTGCCGTGTAATTGCTGTCCCGTATTTATCGTACCCATTTCGTCTTACGATGCCCACGCATCACTGCAAGAACTTCACATACCGCGACAGGATGTAGAGTTGGGGGTGGTTGTGCCAGATAGGTGTACAGGTCTGCTTTGGGGGCGACGAGCGCTGCCGGCGTGGACCGGTCCGGTTCCGAGCTCGGAAGACGATCGGAGTGGGGCGACTTGCAGGAAGTGCTGCACTGCTGCCTGGTGCAGATGGACGTACGCGTTGCAGCATGTGTC